CTCAGGACCTTACGCTTACGGAGGCAGGCGGCAGAACCACTGAGCTAAATCCCCGGCCCATTACTTTACCTCTTAAGGAATGCTTCAGCCAAACTTCAAGAGCTGGCCCATATGACAAACTGTCATTTTAAGATCACACTATTTAAACAATTCATGCAGAAATCTTGAGCATCACATAGCAAAATGAAAGTTTTTATTGAAGAACCCCCATTTAATTATATGAAAATTATAGATCTACTGTATATTAAACTTTAAAAAAAGAATGGAGGAAAAAGATATAAATCACTAATAGCATTCAAACTCTTACCCTCCTTTTCCTTGCATTCATTTTTTGTTTTGATTCTTTAACAAAGGCGTTATAGGAAGGGACCTCTCCAGCATCAATAGCTTGCTGAATGATATTTCTTATCCTGGGTTCCTCTGTATACTCCACACACAGCACAGACTCCATGATCTGGTTCATATCACCCTTGAAATCCAGATAGGCCTGTTTAATATCGGCCAACTCTTCCTCAGAACCTTTGTACGTCTTTTCAAAAGCTTGAATGTCTTCTAGAGATATCTGATGACAAAGCAGATGGCTTTAACTTCAAGAATTTTAAATAACAGGTATACTAGTAAAACACAAGATTTAAGTGTTGAAATGCTTCTTCCTCAAAACAACAGTTGCTTGAATCAAAATTGTCGCCAGAAACTACATTTCCTATGCCTAAGCTTTTCCAGAGTTCTCCCTAACCCAAACTTTAAAACTGCTAAACTGGGGACCAAATAAGATAAATTTAAATGAAGTTTCTAAGGTGGGAAGAGACTAGATAAACATTCAGCCCTTGGATTTGGATATGTAAAATAAAACACAGCCTGGAGAAAAATCCACCCCCTTCGAAGCGACAGTCATCCACCAAGAAATGACTCATTTCAGTTAGTGTTATGTATATTTAAAGGCCATAATTAAATTCCCTCAATTTCATTAACACAGAATTCAAGGCCTTATGCTCACCCAGTAAATGCCTGCTGACTGCATGATGGGAAACATCACAAAGAAAGCTCTAAAGCCCCTACCTTTTTAAAGAGTAACCTCCAATACGCCTCCCAGTCCCGGTCTTGGTTGAGCACAGCACAGTCCTCGTCCACTGTTCCCTGCTCATCGTACACTGCTCTCTGCTCCTTGTCACTTAGAACTGCATAGACTTTCCCCAGTATCTGAGGGAAACGAGCATCCAAAAGTCACCCTTATACCCCCCACTGAAACCGCGCCGCGAGAAATAAAGGTTAGAAAACGCCGGGCCGCGCACTGCGCCCGAGCGGCGCCAGGTGGCCAGGAGATAAGTCTGGGTCGGAATCCGAGCGGACCTGAAAGCGGCGGGTGGCGTCCTCTTTGTCGCCCTCGTCCACCCGGTCGGGGTGCACCTGCAGGGACACCTTGTGGTAGCCGCGTCGGACCTCGCCGTCCGAGGCCTCGCGCCGCACGCCCAGCACCCGGTAAAGGTCGTCGGTACCAAACTCCTGCTCGCACAGCTCCAGTAGCCCCATGCTGGGCCGGGGGAAGGCAGCCTCCGCGAACACAGAGGGTCACAGCTGCTCCAGTTCCAGCAGAGCCGACTTTCTTTTCCCGCTCAAAAAGCCCACGGCGCCTGCGTCACAGAAGGCGCAGAAGGGGCGGAGCCATGCGCGCAGCTACGCTCTACGGCGGCCGCAGAGGGGCGTGGCAAGTGGCGCTGCCCGCGAAAACTCGGTTTAGAGCTGAGGCTGCTCTGGCGTTCTGGTCTCTCAGCACTCCAAGAGCTGGCAACCTTCAGGGTTCGGATACCTCTTCCGAGCAGCCCTCGTCCCCTTACTCTGGAAATATTACGTCTGTCTTACCCCGAACGTCCCAGCACAGAAACATCCACTGATAATATAGAATGTCCCGCTATTAGGTTACATTAATAGAAAAAAAAATTAGTGGAAATTGGTCAAATAGCCAGCATTCAGCAGTTATACATGGCTTAACCTAACAGTTTAAAAGATTTGGTTAAAGATGATCCTCAAGCAGTACAGCTGTAGGCCAGTAATTGTAACCTATGGGCCGAGGTTGCTGGGGTACTTCTCCCTCAAACATAGCAGGGGGAAAAGAACTATTGAACAAAAAGCACAAAACACCAGTCTTAGTTTAAAAAACTATCTATATTGCACAATCAACCTCTCCTTCCAGCTCCCTTTACCTTATCTATTGACCCAATACGACCCTAGTAAAAATACAAGCTGCTGAAACAGGTCTATGTAACATTTGTAAAGTCCAACACATCTGAGCAGATGGATTTGAGCTGACAGCAGGCTGGGCTGCAGAATCATCCTTGACAGGGTGGGAAACTTGGGCCTGGGGATCCAAAACAAGACAAAGCCTGAAGAAAAATTTGGAAACTAAGAAGATAAGCTCCCTTTAGACATATGTGTACATATACCTTGGATTAATAATCTAAAATGCAAAGTGAATTTGCAACTGGCAAAAATTCAAAAATGCTAAAAATAATACATTTTATATCACTTCCTCTTACTGGTCAAGACTTTGCAGAATCACACTGCACTCTGACATTAGGTTTCTGCAAAGCCTCTGACTCTCCAGGATATGCTAGTATCTTACAAAATTCCAGAGTTGCCAAGGTTTTCAAAGCCTTTTTTTCTCCAATCCAAAATCAAAGCCATCAAAAGTCAGTTCCTCTCCATCTTTCCTGGTTTCAGTCTCCTCAAAACAAGTGCTGGTCAACCAGCAACAACCCTTGGGGAGGCTCAGTGACCCAGAATTTGAGATGACTAATAATTGTTCTTAAAATATAGAATCCTGAAAAGCAAATAGCGTATCAATAGAATTAGAACCTTCTTTGTAAATTCCGTTTCTTACTATGCCAGTATTTGAAGTCTATATTATCTGAAGTGTGCAGTAACACAATGTAATTTAGGTATATGGGTGTTGAACTGTGCAGTTTTGGCTGGGACAATATTTAGCTTTGGCCCAACTGGCATTTATACTACCACACTCATGATACACAGGTAAGATTCTACCACTGATGGGCTTGAACCCAAGGAGCACTGAGTTATGTCTCCAGGCCTGTTAAAATTTTTTCTTCTGAGAGGGTCTAAGTTACCCAGGATGGTCTTGAACTTGCAATCCTCCTGCCTCAGCCTCCCAAGTAAGTAACTGGGATTACAGGCATGCACAATAACACCTAGCTATACTAACTCCTTAAGACTTTTGAAACCCTCCTATGTTTTTCTGCAACATAGATATTATGTTAGAAGGAAGCCTGTAGGTGTCTGAACCTTATATTGCTGGGCAAGTTTCTCCCTCCCCAGCTACAGCTTTCTCATCTGTAAAGTGGAGAGAACGAACCCTCCTTACCATAATGATACCTTACAATCCTTACAATAATGTTGCACATAAAGGGTGTGGAGATTTATGTAAGTGCTTTTACAACATTAGCTTCCTTCTAATTTCTCATTCTTCTTTTATTATGTATTTATTTATGGTACCGGGGATTGCACTCAGGTCCCTGTGCTTGCAAGGCAGGCGGCAGAACCACTGAGCTAAATCCCCAGCCCCTAATTTTTCATTCTTAAAAGATAGGCTGTTAGGGTTGGGGATTTAGCTCAATAGTTCTAGCACCTGCCTCACAAGAACAAGGGTGCGAGTTTGATCCCTGGTACCAAAAAAAAAAAAAAAGGCTGTTATAGCCTGAAAGCAATTTTCACAATCATTCTGTCTTTGTAAAAGTAATTATTGTGTGTCAAACAAAGCAATACATTTTCAGGTACAGAAACAGTGTACGTGTGGTGGCACATGTCAGTAATCCCAGTTCTCTGGGAGGCTGCACCAGGTAGTTCCTACATTCCAGACTAACCTGGGCAACTCAACAACTTCAATGAGACCCTGCCTCAAAATAAAAAAAGAGGTTGGGGATATAAAGGCCGTGAGTTTAATCACCAGTAATGGAAAAAAGAAAAAAGCAAAACAATAAACAAGGCAACTCTGTTCTTGAGCTTGTGGGATGACTATAAATAAGGAACATTTAGATTGGCCAAGAACACTCTGGCTGGGGGCAAGAAAGTCCAGCCACGCATCATGGCAAATGCTTGTAATACTAGTACTCTGCAAGGCTAAAAGCAGGTGGACAGCAAGTTGTGGCCCAGCCTGGGCAACTTAATGAGACCTTGTTTCAAAATTTAAAAGGGACTGGGAATGCAGCTCAGTATAAAGACCCTGGGTTCAATCCCCAGGTAACACCAAAACAAGAAAGAAAGCAGGAAGTTCCTTGGCAGGCAACAGATTGTAAAATTGTCCAAATGATCCAACATTCCCTACAGCTACTGTTTTTGCCAAGACAAAGGCCAAAAGAAGCTAATTAGTATCCAGACCCAGCTCTTACGCTGGAGAAGAACAAAGCTCTTGGTGGACCCCACTTAGGCCAGGCCTGAAGAGCATGAGTGACTCAGAAAACTCCATTTATTGTTCTTCAAAACTAACAAAATTAAAAGCTCTGCATATAGAAGATCTTGACCTTGTAACCACTGCCATGTTCACTGAAGTCAGCTTGCTTCTGCTTCTGTTTCTGTAGCCTCTGCGTTTGTTTTCTGAGAAGCTAAGAGGATTGCACGTGCCCGTTTCCTTCGCAGTCTCTCAGCATTTGTAATCATCATAGGATGCAGGGGGAAAAAGCCAGACAGACCTAAAAGCAACAGGATTTTCATTTATTAAAATGTAATTTAAGTCAATATTTCCCTGGACACTGTGTCACAGAGCTGAGGACTGAGCCCTAACCCAAGGCACAGATGTCTTGTCCCTCACCTTCCTCCCCTCACTTATATCAATGTGGTAGTGAATAATATCTACCTTCTAGTCTAACGCTACTCTACTTGAAAAAAAGGTAATCTGATAGTCATTAGAGACAAACTATTGCCATCTTTGGCAGAAAACCCCATCACTCAAAAAGTCTCATAAAGAAGTCCATCTCCAGATTGGAAATGACAATCAGTTCATAACTTCAGCTTCAATAATTTATCATTCTCACTGTGCTGCAGCTGACTTCAGAGTAAAACCCTTGAATGATGCAGAACCAGAGTTAAGTTACCCAGAAGCTTCTCCATAGGCTTAGAGAGGTGGGCCCCACAGCCAATCCAATGCCGGATCCTCTCCAGATTCAGGGCGACGAGTTTTTCCCCGTGACTGTTGGGCAGTGGATCATAAGAGCCCAACTGCTCCACAAAACGACCATCCCTGGGACACTTGTTGTGAGCAGCAACAATGCGGTAAAAGGGCCGGTTGGCGCAGCCACCCAGAGCAAGGCGGATGGTTAAGTGGCCACCGCGGTAGGCCTTGCAGAGGGTGGTACCTGCAGAGAAATAGCTGGTTAGGCCACAAGAACGGATGCCACAAAATGGGCAAATGGAGATCGAGGACCAATTCCTATCTTCCACTGACATGTCCTCATTTCCAATCTATTCTAGTAAATCTTGATTCCATCCATCCTCCTTTGTGAAACTCCCCCTTCACCACTCCAACCAGAGATTACCTCTTCTCAGCCCAAATCCACTCAGCACGGGCCTGCCATTTACTCGCTCTGTGCCCTTCCTGTATCTTTAGCTGCCTCATTTGCAAAATAAGATGGTTTCAGTGAAGATTAAGTGGGGGAAAAACTGACAAGAGGATCGGCTGTAAGCGGATGGACTCCAGCGCGCCTAAGGAAGCGCAGCTCCACTTGTTCTCGGGCGCCCCAACCCCTGCGGCCCCCCAGAAAGTCTCAAGGGACACAGATAACTCACTAAGCTGGACCATGGCGCAGCCGGCGTGCAGATCCTCGGTGGTCCCGCTGGTCCCACAGCCTAGGGCCGGGGCCTCCGACCCACAGAAAAATTAACTCGAAAGGTCAATTCCCAGAGACGCTGAGACTCCTACCGGCTACGGAAGCCTAAAAGGCTCAGTTTCAGAAGCAGATGCTCGACTAGCTCCTTTTCTGCTTTTTGGCCCTATACTTCCCATCATGCAACACGGCCCTACCCCCTGCGTTTTAGATTGAGGGAGAGGCGCTGCATTTGACGTCTGTGGGAGTGACAATGCGATCTCTCCTTCCGAGTCCCAGTTGGCATGAAGTTTTGGGGGAGTCCTAGGTGGTCAGTAAGAGTGCTAATCCCTGGGCAAAATCCTTCCACCTTGCAAACATTTTCTGGACATGCTTAGGGCGGGACGCTGTGGTGTCCGGAGAACCCCAGGGCCGTGAATAGACTGTGCAGGGGGGCAGACAGGAAGTTGATACTCCCTCAGGAAGACTTAAGCAGGTAGAGTTGGGGCCGCAAATAGGAGGATTATAAATGACTACAGGTTACCTTTCTCAGTTAAATAATTTGTTCCTCTTCTTTAGTCTCCCACCACCGAAGAGGCAGGCACACCATAAAAAAATAAAGGGGAAATCCTTATACCTGTTTTTGCTGTACTGTGAAAGTGGTAGATTGAGGGCTGGGGATTTAGCTCAGTGGTTCCACCGCCTGCCTCGCAAGCACAAGGTCCCGAGTTTGATCCCCAGTACCAAAAAAAGTGCTGGGTTGTAGTATCATTTCTTGTCATCCCAAGCCCAAGGATACGACCTCACTAGTCAAGAGTTTTGCTTCTCATACGGTAGTGGTGATGTCTTCGTGGAGGCCTTGTGGTTTAGATCCACGAAGATAACCCCTGGTTGATTACAGGGAGTTAGTTCCACCCACTTCAGCAAAGATCTCTGTTCACTGCTGGCTGGTTCTAAAGGGCCTGGCACAACTAATAGGCCCTTTCTCCAACATTGTGAACTAGCATAGCAGTCCGTAGAGCTCACCTCTAAAGATGATGCCTTAATTCCCGAGTTCCAGTAAGTAAACCTAGCCAAGGGCCTTAGCAGCACACTTCCAGTAGTAACTCAGTGAGCTTTCATCAGAAACCTATTGACCCCACTAGACCTTTATTTTATTTACATATAACTAATGATGTATTAAATATATAATTACAATTCCATATATATGTGATGTATAACTCAGTGTGCTTTTAACTCTAAAACCACACTGATGAATTTTTCATTTCTTGTTTTTATTATGATCCCATTTACTGTTAACTAGTAAAACTTCCAGTTAGAGCCAATGGAAATATGTAAGTTTCTGTTGATAGTGAACATTCTTTGGTTCTCCAGCTCCAGGCTTCACGTGGTCAGATTATCGTGGAAAGGAGCTCAGGGTCCCACACAGAACATTCTTCAGTTTAAGAATGTCAGAAAGATGGATCTCCAAATCCAACCATCTCCTGTACCATGCGGATCTCTTCAAGCAAAGCCTCATCCTTCAGTTTCAGCTACATGAAAAATGGAAGAACACGTCATATCTGTACACTATATACCTTTGAAGAACTCCCATTTGAACACCTCCTATTTCTGGGGCCAAAGCCAATGAAAACAGTTCCTCAGAATAGAACTGGCTTTGTGTGTCTGTGCTGGGGACGTGTCCACAACGTACCTTTACTGTATATTTGTAAGCCTGCTCAGCTTCCAGTTGACGTCCAGCCTGAAAAAAGTACAGCAGCTGGTGGTGAATGCACATCAGAAGCATCATGGTGGGGAAGTACACGGTCTCAGATATTTCTACCTGGCACAGGGGATAGCAGCTGCCCAGTTAAGAACCTCTGAATCTGGGGATACACTGCCTGCCTCGCAATCTTAAGGACCCAAGTTCGATCTCCGGTATCAAAAAAACAAACAAACAAGAACCTCTGAATTTAGAAGGGAAACAGGAAAATGGAAGCTGATAGGAAAGTTGGCATTTTCAAAACTCTCCTTGATTTGCGAAAATTTAAAGGCATTTTGGATTCTAAATTTTTTCTGAAAGCACCATAAATCATTTATTCATTTTAGGATTGAAGCCACTTTGTTGCACATTGCACATTGCAGTGCTAATATGTGATTTACACTGTTTTCATTGTGATGTTTTAAATGCTTAGGAATGTGTCTGGATATAGCATTTGCCAAACTGTATATATGAATGTGACCAAATAATGCCACATTGGATTTTAAAGTGTGACATAAATTTATGTCCACTAGCAACTAAGAGAATCTTTATCAATGTTGGTAATATCATATTTTAATTTTTGCCATTCTGATGGATGTGAATGTCTGCCACGTTATTTTATGTTGCATTTCCATTTTATCAGAGAGGCTGAGTTTCTTTTCATGCAAATATTGATTTTTGTAATCTCTACTTCAGCAAACTGCATATTCCTATCCTCTGCCCATATTTAGTCAGATTGTTTATGGTTCTTTTCCCTTTTGTAGGAACTATTCATATAACCAACCTGAACATAATCCTATTTTAGTGTTCTTGTTATACATGAGTTGCCAATATTAAAGTAGTTAATTTACTGCAATTTATTTTTGGCTTCTGCTTTTACAATCCTAAGAAAACTTCTGTACCCCAAAGGCATAAAGGTATTCTCTACATTTCTTCTAAATATTAAGAGTTTGCTTTTAAGATTTGGATCTTTAAACCAGCTGGAATTGTATGTGTGTGTCTGTGGTATGAAGTAAGGAACTGATTTTTTGTTTCATATGGCTAGGAACCAATTGCCTCACCACTATTTTTTGAATTATTACTTGTTTCTCATTTTAGGAGGGCTATATTGTCTTTCGAATAGCTACGTTAAAGTATAATGTACATACCTTAAAAACCACTAATTTCAAAATTCAGTTGTTCATTGCTTTTGTTTTTTGGTTTTGACACAAGGTTTCACTTTGTAGCCCAGGCTTACCTTGAACTTCCCACCTCAGCCTCTCAAGTGTTGGTACAGGTATGCACCCACTACACCTGGCTAGATTCAGTTGTTCAACAATCAACATGATCCAGCTTTTGTTGTTGTTGTTTTTGGTACCAGGGATCAAACTCAGGACCTTGTGCTTGCGAGGCAGGCATTGGCCCCACTGAGATAAATCCCCAGCCCCACATAATATAAGAAGACTTGTATTACCCTAGAAAGTTCTGTTTGTAGTCAGTCCCATTCCACCATGGCTCCAAGTAAGTATTAATCTATTTTGAGTCTCTACAGTTTCCCTACTTTCAAATAAATGGAATCATATATAATCTTTTAATTGTATCTGTGGTTTACCCATACTGTTATGTGAATCAGAATTCCATTTTAATTGTTGATAGTACTCTCTTGTGTAAATAAACCTAATTTAGCCATTTACTGGTGGAAATTTAAAATGTTTCTAGTTTTTAGCTTTTAGTAAATGCTGTGATTAAAATTCACATACAAAAATGCAAGGTCCTTACATGTGTAAATACTGAATAGTTTCTCTGGTGTGAATAAACTATAATAGTACATAAGATCCTAATGATATAATTGACAATGTGAAATAGGAAGAAAGGGGCTAAAGGTGTGGGGAAAGTGGGAAGGGTAGGGGAAAGGTAATAAGGGAAAAGAAAAAATATGAGAAAATGAAAAATGGAAATAAAGTGTTTGTAAAGGGGGAGGGGAGAAGGGGGTAAAGGGAGGGCAGGGACAAGGGGAAAAAATGAGAACCAAGACCTGTCATGTAAAGGTACAAGATCTCAATAATGAATGTAACTGTACTGTATACCTAAAATGTACCAATAAACTTATGAGGAAAAAAAAAAAAAACCCACAAGGTCCTGAGTTCGATCCTTGGTACCAAAAAAAATTTTTTTTTTCACGTAAAAATCATTGTGTGGACAAATGTTTTCACTTTTCTTTGCTAGATACAGATAAATGAAATTGCTAGGAAACAAACTAAATGTATATTTAACTGTTCTAGAATCTGCCAAACTGTATTCATCACTTTACAGCCCTACGAGTAATATAAGTGTTCCAGTTTATCCACATCTTTGTAAACAATTGATATCATCTTTTTTTTACTTATTCTTTTTTCTCTTAAATTCTTTTATTGGTACATTTTAGGTATTCAATACATTTACATTCATCATTGAGAACTTGTACCTTTACATGATGTATCTTGGATATTTAACTTATTCTAATGAGTTTATTGTGTGGATAAATTTTCATTATCTCCCCACCACTACCAGGGATTGAACTCAGGACCTTACACTTATGAGACAGGTGCCACTGAGCTAAATTATGGGCCAGTTTTCCTTATCTTAATGAAATATCTTTTAAAAATATATACAGTGTTACCTTGGTTCATGAACTTCTTTCCACAATTCTCATCACAAACCAAATTGAACAAGAACGAAATCAAATTTCCCCACACAGTCAACATTGAATCTAACCATTGAATTTGATTTGGTTCTTATCCAATTCTGTCTGTGACCACAATTGTGGAAAGAATCAAATTCAGGAACTGAGGTACCACTGTATAGCATAATTACATAATAAACAAAAAATAACAAGAATAGTTTTCTTACTTTTGCTATATATTCATTTATACACATTTACATATGTATGTACTGTATATGTGTGTATACTTTAACTTTTCCTGAACATCTGAGAATAAATTCCAAACATGAAGCAATATTCCTATTTCAATGTGTTTTCTAAAATCAAACATATGGGCTGGGGATTTAGCTTAGTGGCACCATGCCTGCCTCACAAGCACAAGGTCCTGGTACTGCAAAAAAATTTTTTTAAAAAAAATCAAACATATTGGGCTGGGGATTTAGCTCAGTGGTTCCGGCCCCTGCCTCGCAAACACAGGACCTGAGTTCGATCCCTGGTACAAAAAAAAAAAAAAGAAAAAGAAAAGAAAAAAAAACAATCAAACATATTCTGTTATATAGCCACAGTACAATTATCAAAATGAGATTAATATAGATTTAATACTATCATCTAATCCACATACCTCATAGAGATCTAATTATCCCAATAATTCCTTTAAAAAAATAAAACCCAGGATCATACATTACATTTATTATTTATATCTTCTTTTTTTGATTGAACTCATGACCTTGTGCTTGCAAGGTAGGCACAGTGCCACTGAGCTACATCCCTGGCCCTTCATTTTCTTTTAATCTAGAATAGTTTCTGAGTCTTTGTGTTTTATGGCACTGGCATTTTAAAATAAGTACAGCACAGTTATTTTGTAAAATATTCTCTAGTTTATGTTGTCTGATGTTTTTCTCATGACCATATCAGGTTATGAATACCACAAAAATGATGTCATGTTCTCCTCCACCCATCACATCAGGAGGCACATGCTCTTTATGTCAGTACTGGTGGTACTAACTGATCATTTGTTTAGATAACAATCTTCCAGGCTTCTTTACTATATTACTCTTCCTGCCTTGTAATATGTCTGTGGGGAGATACTTTGAGACTCTGCGAATACCTTAGTCTTTAAACTTTCACCCCTAGTCTTTGCACACACTGATGAATGTTCACTGACTGAACTACCATTATGGTTTCCAAATTGTATTTTCTAATTCCATCATTCTTTCTAACTTATTAATTGGCTTTCTGTAAAGTTTCTGGTCTCTACCATTTACTTATATTGCTAGAATTCAGTTTCTTGTACTAATAGGCGGGTCCCTACTTCTTTGTGGATCTCAGCTGGGCTACTCTTAGCTTCTAGAGACCATTCACATTCCTTGACATCTTTTTCCACCTTAAAACTACCTATGGTGATTAGAGTGACTCCTAGTTCAGAAGATTTGTTTGACTGGGTCAGATAATCTCTGTATCTTGGTGCAGTGCCACTGAGCTAGATCCCTGGCCCTCTTTTTAAAAAAGTATTTTATTTAAACATACACATTGTTTGAAGAAGTCAGCAGTATGCTGCATAGCAAATATATTCTTTTTTGTTGTTGTTGTTGTTTGCTTCTGCTTCCTGTTGTGTTTGTGGTGCTATGAATCAAACCCAGGGCCTAGTGCATGCTAAGCACTATATCCCCAGACCAGATAAACTCTGTATCTTGAGGTCAACTAATTTGGGACTTTAATTTCATCTGCAAAATCCCTTCACAGCAGCACCTAGCTTAGCGTTTGATGGTACAGTGCCGGGGAAGAGGGGACATCTTTAGAATTCTACTTAGCACAAGACCTCATATTTGAAAGTGTCACATAATTTCTTCTTTGATCAATGAATTAATTTCAGGCATATTCTTAGGTTTTGCAAGTATGTATGTTTTTGAGCTATATTGTAGTTGTTGATTTATAATTTTGTTTTTGTTTTTGTTTTTTGAGACAGGGTCTCACTATGTAGTTGAGACTGACCTGGAACTCACTATATAGCCCATGCTCATCTTGAACTCACAGCAATCCTCCTGCCTTAGTGTCCCGAGTGCTGGGATTACAGGCATGCACCACCACACTCAGCGTTGATTTATAATTTTACTACAGTGTGATACGCATGTACTTGTGGTACCTTTTTGTGGTCGAGCATGTGTTCAGCTTTTATAAGTGATTCATGTTTGAAATGTGTCCTCTAACTTTTAAGAGCAGAGTTATATATTGGTGTTTGTTCAGTTAATTGTGAGATAGATATACATATCTCCTTATTGTTTTCCCTATTTGATCTATCACTTTCTGAAAGAAGTATATTAAGATCTTTCTTTTTTTCCTTGTAGCTTACAGGCGAAGACTCTCAGGTCCAGTAAGGTTAAGTGACTTGCCTTGTATCCCACAGCTAGTTGGAGTAGAGCTGGCCTAAGAATGCAGATATTTCATAAGCTGATATTTGGAATAGTTATTCCCAAAAGAAAATCCAGTAACATTTTTTGGGGATTTGGTTTTTGGTTTGGGTTTCTGAGACAGGGTCTCACTATGTGGCTCAGGCTGGCCTTGAATTCACTATGTAGCCCAGGCTGGCCTTGAATTTGTGGCAATCCCCCTAGCTCGGCATCTCCAGTGCTGGGATTTACAGGTGTGCTCTACCATGCTTGGCTCCATTAACTTTTATGTTGTTCATTTCTCTTCTCCCTGTCAATTTGGTGTCATATTAACCAGTGGACAACTAAGGGTAGCTCTCAGGACTCCCAGTTTGATCTTAAACTGAAATGCAAATTATTTAACTCTAACCAAAGGGGGTTTATTATTGTAATAGGTACATGACCTATCAGGAATTCCCCTAATACTTCCTACCCAATTCCCCATCTGAATCAAGGACAAACACCCTCAATGAGTAATTCAACAGGAAGAAAAACTCATAGAATATCTCCTTCGCTGATCCTTAATCTAGTTTATGTTCGTACAGAACGCTGCTCCTATCTTTTAAATTTTTGTTGATGTTGTTGTTATTTTTTGAGACAAGGTCACACTATGTAGTCCAGACTGGCTTGAACCATGTAGCCCAGTAGCCCATGTCTGGCTCAAACTTGTGATGTTCTGTTTCAGTCTCCTGGTGCTTGGATCACAGGTATGGGCCATCACACCTGGCTTACATTGTTTCCATTTTTAGAACCTTTCTAGAAAATACATACATTTCTAGAAAAAATACATTTGAATATAACTTTTATCCACATTCCAAGTAGAAGATGCCCAGATTTGGCCTTTTCTTTGTCATAAATATAATGACCAAACTCAGAGCCCATCAAACTTCAGCTATCATGTATTAATGACTATCTGTCTCTTGCTTACTTGGTCCCTAACCTCTGGTCCCTGACAGGGCATTGTGTAAAGACAAGAATTCTACTCACTTTCAGGCAGACCAGAGCCAAATATGCCCATACTTCAGCATTGTGGTTGTTCAGTGCATTGGCTTCAGAGAGAGCATCCTCGGCCTCTGTGAGCTCATCCAACTTGACAGAAAAGGCAACAAATGAATAAGGTGAAGTGGTTTCTGTCTAAGCCAGGTTAGAGTCAACTCAGCTGAAACCACTATGTCCACATAATATGTACATTATCTATATCGTCAACTTTTTCTATTTTTAATGTTATTCCAACAAAATTTTATGTGGTATATAAGCCAATTAAAAGTAGAACTACTTGGGGTCAGGCCAGGGATTTAGCTCAGTGGTTCCGCCTCCTGCCTCACAAGCGCAAGGTCCTGAGTCCAATCCCCAGTACCAAAAAAAAAAAAAAGTAGAACTACTGGGCTGGGGATTTAGTTCAGTGGCACTGAGCCTGCCTCACAAGCACAAGGTCCTAAGTTTAATCCCCAGTACCGAACAAACACGGTCCTAAGTTTAATCCCCAACACCAAAAAAAAAAAAAAAAAAAAAAAAAGAACTACTCTGACTAAAAGCCAGTGAGGGGAATCTGGAGCCCTGCCTGGTCAGCACTCTGCTTATCTCCTCTATCCCTTGTGTCCTCTACAGAAATCCCTTTAGGGCAGCTGTGAAGCATGGAGCTTCAAGGGCCAGGGCTGGAAATCCGTAAGTATTCACTATTATCCTTCAATGATTTCCTCATACGCATTAGGTTGTAGATACATTTTCAGTTTTTCCTTTACATTGTGCATCTCTTTCTTGACACTAAAATCTAACTGACCTATCAAATACTACTGTCTAGAAAGCTTCCTTTCCCCTAATATCACTTATTAACTAAGCAATCGATAATTGTCTAGGGTCTCTCTAGGGTGGTGCCTGAGCTCTAGACGTATGGGGTCGTCACTACTTCTTAAAACCATGAGTTCACTTTATAAAACCTTCCAAAGGCCACCTAAGGAAAGAAGGTAGCTTTCTAAAAGACAAGTTCAGAGAAGAAACACCACTAAGTGCAGTGCCACACCTGGCTTGATCTGTTTTTAACTGAGTAGATTCTTTATCTCCTATATCATCTTTTTCTTACAGATAACATCAAAAGGGATACCTAAACAAAATAGCTTTATTTTATTTATTTATTTATTTATTTATTTATTTATTTATTTATATTTTGGGTACTGGGGATGAACTTGGGACTTTGTACTTGCGAGGCAGGCAGCAGAAGCACTGAGCTAAATCCCTGGCCCAGCATTAAGTGGTTTTTTTGGGGGGCGGGGGTTGAGACAGGGTCTCACTATGTGGTCGAGACTGACCTGAGACTCACTGTGTAGCCCAGGCTGGTCTTGAACTCACAGTGATACTCCTGCCTCAGCCTCCTGAGTGCTGGGATTACAGGTGTGTGCCACCATGCTCAGCTTTCAGCATTAATTTTTTTAAAATATACCTTCCTGTTTCCGATTCTTACAGGATTTTGTTTGTTTGTTTTTGTTTGGAGACAGGGTCTGGCTACATACTCCAGACTAGTTTTGAACTCACTATATAACTCAGGTTGGACAAAAATCTATGGTGATCCTCCTGCTTCAATTTCCTGAGCTCTGGGATTACAGGCTTGCACCACCACACCTGGCTAAGGATTTTTCAAAGGGTATTTTGCTTTTCTAGTTTAGATTGATCTTCAGTTCATGAGCAACTTTGAAGACCAACTTTTCATTACTGCAGACTATCCCAATTGCCATCCCATTGTCATCACAAACTGCCAGTGTACTTGGAAAATCAAGGACTCAAGATCACTTAGGTGCACAGGACTACCCTCAGACCTTCATTCACTCACCCGGTAACAGGCGATTCCTAGTCCCAGCCAGGTAAGGCAGGAAGGAGATCTCTTACAGGCCTGCAGATAGGTTTTCTTTGCCTTCTCATACTATAAGAAGAAAGAGATACTGTTCTAGAAGCTTCAAATGCTGAACTACTAGGAAAATAATGAGACCTCTTGATCCACTTCAGAACAATCTAAGTTAAGTGATTCCTTGGATTGCATTTTTTTTTTTTTTTTTTTTTTTTTTT